CCCCCCCCCGCCTCTGAGGGCGGGAACGCAGCGGGCGGCGCGGCCGTTGTGGCCGTTGGAGGCGGCCGTTGGAGCAGAGAAATCCCGTAAGTGGAGAGGAGCAGCCGCGATGCCTGCCCTCCGGGTAGCGAGTTTGAAGGAAAGATTTATTATTATTATTATTATTATTATTATTTTCCCTTCTTCATTCCATCTGGTGATGTTTTCAGAACAGCCCGAGCTTTCTGAGGCCCCCCTGTGGTTTTTCCTTTCAAACCAGATTTGGGAACAGGAGGGAAGCAAGAGCTGCTCGTTAGACGCCAGCTCTACCAAAGACCAAACCGGTATCTGCCAAAAGCAGCAGGAGTTTCTCCTGGATCCCATGAGAACTTCTCAGAAATACTTGGGTTGTGTTTCGTGAAAACGCTGTTGGTGACTGGTTAGAATAGGATTAGGTTTCCAAAAACCTGTTTTTTGCTTGTCCAAAATGAAAGGGTAGGATGGCTAGTTTTCAGCATATATTTAAACTTCTCTTTTTTTGTATCTTTTCTACACTTTAATATATATAACTTTGCTGCAGATGCCAGGAGAGCATAAGAAGCATTCTTATGTTTTTGACTCTTTACAGTTCTAAATGAAAAACATCCAAAAGTTAAGTTTTGAAGAGCAAAATAAACCCTGTGAAACTCATGCTGCACTCATGGGAGCTGGTCCATCCTCGCTTAGCTGTGCCTTATCTGTGCTGTCTGTGATTTGCATCAAACTACATATTTAATGTTCCCAGCAGGTGGTGGCAGTAGTGTACAACAGCAGCTTCTCTTTTTTTTCCCTCTCTCAGTCACTGTGTTTCTGTTCTAATTTATTTTTTCATTAAGATGTGCTACACTAATTTATTAGCACATGGACTGCGCTGGCAGATAGTGGATGTCCTTGGATCCAGCTACAGTGGTATGAACTGATGCTGCCAGCAATACCTAAGGGAGGGGGCCCTTTTCAACAACAATTAATTCTGAAAGTTGCTGTTATTTTATCTTCCAAATATACTATTTTGCATCATTTGTAGTATTGATTTTGTCTATTTGCCGTATATAGCTGAACTTCTCCAAATCCTTCTTTAAGTGTGCTCTAAATGGAAGTTGTAACTTTGGCAAAAGGAATAAAAATCGGGATATTTGATGTTAAATTCATTTTACTTTCAGCCCTGGTTTTGAAAAGACTGTTAGCTTCCAGTTTCAGAGCTAAATAGCCACTTCTTGTATCCACCTGCAACTTCTCATCACTTTGTATCTTTAGAAATGAAAAGGCTAGAAACAAAGTACCTTAAGAACCACAAACTATGAGGGAAAGTTAAGTCTGATCACTGAGATTTTTCTGCGAACATAAATTAAAAATTTTTATGACTCTTTGACACAGAGTAAATAGCTTATCTGGTGCTGCAGATGTTTTTAAGTGAAGAAGCTAACAACAGTGACAGCTGGGGATTCAGTTCTGAGTGGAAATCACCATCAAGTGTGAAGGAGTGAGGGTCCTCATCTTGCCACTAATTTAAGAAGCATTGGATTGAACTACAAGGGTTGTCACTAATTTACTGCTAAGACTTAATGTGAAACTACCCACAGAACAGACTGGCAGGTATGAGATTCTTAAAGGAGAGTGAAGCTGTGCTCATAGTGTAATAGCACGCTGTTTAACTGATGTCAATCATCTTCTCTCTTCATGGTGGCTCGTTCCTACTAAAGCCGTGTTGGATTCTGAGAAATTTTATTTAAAATTCCGCTGCATGTTTCTGCATATTTACAGTTACAATGGCGAAAAGTGAAGCAGAATTGCATTAACACGCAGCACGTAGCTTATTTAATACAGGGCATAATGCTGATGAAAGGGAAGCATTGTGTTTACTGTTGTGCAGTTGCCTTTGGGACTAAAAATCACAGATTGTCAAGCTATCTGACTTTTTTTTTTTTTTCTCCCCTACTTTGGCACGTTCTGACTCACTTTTGCTCCTTTGAACTTAGGTTTCTTTGCAGACCTCTTGGGAGACTTAATACAGACAGAGCAAAGGGTGTTTCCCTGTACTGACGTTTTTCTTTACTCTTCAGAACCCCTGCCACGCTGTGCTTACTGCATAGTTTTTACTTTCAGCCCTGAGGAGTTGCTCGGTCTTTGATCCCTTTTATTTGTGAAATAACAGGGGGCTGGTGACACAAATTCTCCTCTAGCTTCTTGTTGCAAGAGAGAGCAGCACAAAGCACCTGCTTTGGGAGCCCCAACTCTTGTGTTCGCCCTAAGGAGAATTTGTTCTCACTCTAGTATCGCACTCTGCTTCCATAACAGATTTATTTTCAGCTGCAGTTTTCTGAACATATTTCAGTACTAATGTACTAAACTCTATCAAAGCTCAGTGCAGAAAAACCTACTGCCAGTTAAACTCAGGTCAGCAAAAGCTAGAGATGTGGTTTGCATAGGTGTGGTTTACCAAAGACCAACAGTGGCTGGGTGTTTCTTTTGAGCATGTAATCACCGTATGTCTGTGATAACATTTGTAGTAAAAATGATGGATAAGGATTTATTTTTTTCAGCCTTGTCAGGCCACATCAGCTTGATTGGTTCCTTCCCAATCAGACAGCACCATATTCTGTTAATAGAATATATAAATTGGAAAAAAGAAAGGGGCTATATCTGCCTACCTGTCTCAAGGGGAAGAAAAAAAAAATAAAAAGGATTATTCTCCTAATATAGGCCTGGGTTTTGAGGAGTTTTTTTCTATCCCTGCAAATGTATGGAGCTGTTATCTGAAGTGCAAAATGGTAACTCATCAGGGTGTTTTAGCTTTCACAGCTCCATTACGTTTCCTTTTCGCTCAGGAGATGCAGGAGTTGTGAGACTGTATATGGACACTGCTGTGAATTTAAAGGAGGTTTTGTAAATTTTGGCAGCTTGGGTGATAAAGCTGTCAGGTCTCCACTACCAGCAAGTTTGTGGTGATGACTGAGAGAGGAGATGGTGAAAAATATGTTGTTCCCCCTCCAGGGATTGTTGCTATCTGAAAACGTATTGACATTTCAGTTTAAGACTTGCTACATGGAGTTGTTAATTACCCCTTAGGATTTCCTAAGGGCAGAAATAGAGCAAGGAGGATGCTTGAATTTTATTTGGAGAATTTGTCAGTGGAGAGTGATTTAGAGTCATAGAATCATTATGGTTGGAAAAGACCTTCAAGATCATCGAGTCCGCATGTAGACCCTTCACCACCCTGCCTGCTAAGCCCTGTTCCTAAGGGCCTCATCTACATGTTTCTTCAACACTGCCAGGGACACAGTATTTATCCTATGTAATAATTTTCTGCTTTTACTGCCATATTCTTTAGTGTCTATATAACCTGTTGCCATAGACATATTTCTTCATCCAATGCTGTATTATATTTCATTTCTGTTCATTAGACTATGCAGATATTTAACATGATATCAATGGGCAAATTGGCATTTGAGGTAATGATATTGAATTCATTCAAGTTACATTTTTGTCCTTAGATTTGAGGTAGATTTGGTACCTGACCCTTAAAAATACTGCCCTGTCTCAGATCTACCAAACAAACCAGAGGCCACAGCATTAAAAAGAATCTGTGCAGTGTGAAGGGAAAGGAAGCACAACTAAGCACATTATTTTTAAACAATTTAAATACAGATTGGCTCTCATTCTGAAATGTGGATGACCTGACCTTTGGATAAGTAGCTGTGCAGATTTTGCTCGAATGCTCAAAGCCAAAGCAGGAAAAGTCAGACACTGTTGAGGAGAAGCGCCAGCCAGAACAGCTGGCTCACGCAAGCTTAATTTTCAGTAAAAACTAATAAATGGAAGCAGAGAATGAAAAATTCACAGGAAAGATGTTCTCGTGATTAATTTAACAGACCACCTGAGGTCACTATTCGCTCATACAAATTGGATCTAGGAGCAGAGCCCATGGGAAAGCTCTTAGGGCTGCTCGCCCGGGTAGAGCTGTTCTGCTTTTCAAGCAACAACCACAGATCTGGAGCAGCGCTTTCATCCAGGTTTGGGCAGCCCTTTTTCCACACATCAGCCACGTTGTTTTGAATGTCTCAGATGTAAATATCAATGGTCTAACTCTCGAGAGTGTAAGAGCAAAAGCAAACATAGGTTTTTAAATATTCACTGTAAAATAAACTTGGGGTCCCAAGCACCATACACGACATGTAGGACATTAAGCACTTCCAAGTGATCAACTAATGAACAGACTATGCTTTAACTGTAGAGATACATTAAGATAGAAGGTTAGGCAATAAAAGTGAGAGAGAACTCTGTGAGAACCTCTGCAGAACTTAGGTATTATTTTGAAGGACTGTGATAACAACTAAAATGGCTTTTTTAGTAATTGAGGGCCCAAACCTGCATGCGTTCTTAGCAATTTCAGTTTGCTGCCTATTGCATGAAGCTCTTACTTGGGGAATTGTTTCCCTTTAGAGAGGAGGCACCTGACAAAAGCATGTTCAATACTCGAGGTGGGGCTACGGCAATGGAGCTGTTAGGGCTTCAAGGTGGAGGCAGCAGCTTGTTGTGCTGCAGGACGTATGTGTGTCAGTGACCACAGAGGCTCAAAATCTTCCTTCAGGCATCTCTGAGGGTTCTTTTTATCTTGGCTCGCTTTAATGATCCGATGTATAGTCTGAGCCACAAACATCATTACTGCTCAGCTTCAGTAGAGAGACCAGAGAGGCAACTTTAAAGTAGCTTTGCAACAGAAACCCGCATATTGTGTTACTGCAGGTTGAGCTGATCAGCAGATACAATGTGTGCGTGACACCACCAGGCTTTAAGGTGGTTCTTTGCAGCTCACGTGTATGGTTTAGTTTCCTATTAGCTAGGCGATGTGTTGCATGAAGCTTGCATATGAGATATATTTGATCCTGTGCAGTCCAGAAGTGTCTGGCCTACTTTAGTCATGTTTGAAAGCACAGCAGATTCACTTTAGGCTGCGCAATAATACAAATTATGGCTACATTTTCCCACAGGTCAGCAGGGGGAGAGGGTTCTCAGTTGTCTTTGCTATACGTTGAACAAGCCTGAAACAGCTGAACTCTCCGTGTGCCAGAAGCAAAGCTGCTTTTTGTGCAAAGTGGGTACTGCACGTGTGGGCACATACAGCAGCTTTATGCAGGAAGGCAGCCTCTTTCTTGCACGTCCCTAGAGTCTTTTAAGAAACACCGCCACAGGTCATGGTGTTAGTAACTGATTATTTTTTCTTAATAGCCTTTAAAAAACAGAACAATGAAAATCATAGTTACTTAAATTGATTTGCCAATGGAATAAAAAGACATCCTTAAGGCATGAAGTGTGACCCTCTTGCTGGAAGGGACAAACTTCCATTTCTTTTCTTCCTTCCTTTTCCAGCTCCCATCCCCTGTTCCGCCTTTAGTGAACATCGTGGGTTAGTGTGTCCCGATCTCCACAGAAACCCAACCTCTACCACCAGGATAACCGAGCAGCATAGCTGTTACCCTTGGTCCTATCAATGCATTACAGTGTCAAGGAACTTATCCTTGCTAATTAATTCTTCATTGCTACGTAATACTTAGCTTTTCTGCTGAGCTGCAAAGAAGGCTCCTCTCCTGTTTTTAATGCAGGGTGGCAGTTTTATTGTGATACTGGTACCTCCTAATGTGTCTATGAGAACCAGTGCAGACAGTACAGCCAGTTGCCATAGATCAATGCAACTAAATCTCTTTTATTAGAATTTTACAGAAGATCATGGCAGGTCTTAGTTCAACCTTGTTGACCCCATCTAACTGGGGAACCAGGCATGTTCAAGATTTTATTTTAAGCAAAGCATTGGCAAGAGATGGGAAGTCTTGCTCTAATAGTGATATACTTGTCTGTCCTGGCGTGTGTTAGAATGGGTCCTCAGTCAGGAATAATTACCTTTAAAAAGGTAAATATTTGTTCTTCCATCCATGATAGGGATCTCAGAGAGCACTGAACAGTAACTATTTGCTTTTCATGAGTGTTTTGTAATCTTGCGTGTCTCAGCTAAAAACGTCTCATCCCATTAGCCATCTAAAGGAAGCACAGTGAGAGGTTTGGATCTGCACGAGAGGAGAGTAAATACATTTTTGTAGTATCTGTATTTTCTTGTATTACCTCTTTGAGTTCCCCTGTGAGACTCTCAGAGCTCTATAGGAATAGTGGGAATAGGCAAGCAGAAGTATTTTGCATGCCCTGTCTGTTGGGGTCAATGTTGATGTTTCCTACACTCTCAGTCCAGCCAGTCAAAGCTGATACCAATAGGGAAGAAGCCAGAAACAGTTCAGGGACCTGATTCCAGGAACAAACCCGGGTCCCTTTGGTTGGGGTTTGTGCTGCTTCTCCTCCCTCCAACATTGCTTTTGTGGGTCAAAACAAAGCATGAGAATATGTTGGAGGCAGGAGCAAGAAGTTTAAAAGTACCTGAAAGGGCCAATTGTTGATGGTTTGTTGGGAAAAAGAGAAGCAAAGCAAAGTGAATTGATGATATTTTTTGGTGGAAAACAGATAAAACAGATGTGAAATGGAAACAATCTTGCTTTGCAAGGGGACCTTGATGAACAAGCTGGAGGAGGAGAGCAAAGTAATATAAAACAAGAGTGCTTGGTGGATTCTGTGCACAGGCTGGGGCAGTTGTGTGAGGGTCACGCACACCAACAGCACAACTAAACAGCAGCTAGGCAGTTTTTGCCAGAGAGGTGCTTGGTGTTTCGCTTTTGTCCTGTTTTGACACCTTCTTCACTAAGCAAGGTAACATGCCCAGAGTCCCCCTGCCAAGCTTACATCACTGGGATCATCGCTGGATTGCAATGCAGTCCCATTTGAACAGACCCGGGGCAAAAGGAGCCTGAGAACTGATCTCTATCATTATAGTTAAGTTATTCCTGAGAGTGTGGACTGAAAAACAGAAAATTCCCCAGTCAGAAAAGGAAAACGGGGCTTGTGTGGAGCAGGTACACGCTGCCCTCCCAGGGCCCTGCCGGGCACTTAAGCATTTTTGCACTGAGTGTCATACAAATAGTAACCTACTAGTAACCTGCTACTGCGGTAGAAGGTTTGATAAATGTATTGGCAGGTGGCCCATTTTTTTCTTTGCTTACAACATCACTGTGCTGCTGTGTGCATTTTATAATTATTCATCAAGATAAGTTCCCAGGATGAGGTGTCGCAATTCTAGTGGGTTGAATTTTTCTTTGCACCACTCCCATCTTTCTGGCACATGCCCTACATGGAGATCTGACGCATCTCTATTAAAAGATGTCTGCACAGGTTTTGCTGTGCTCCAAAATTGCAAAATCTGAACTCTCTGTAGATATGATAGACGTTTAATATAAAGACACAGACTGCGGGCGGCTCTTTGTTGGTGGAAACTTTTGCAAAGCTGATACGAATGTTTGCAACTCAAGATTTATTTACTAGTGTATGGATTTATGTAAAAGACAATCTCACTTATGCTGGCTGTGTAAGGAAGATTCATTGGAAAGAACAGGCCACGCATCCAGAGCTGTTGCAATGAGATATAGTTTCTTGATCATGATGTTTGTAGATTTTAGCAGTAGTAATTCCGATAGAAAGCTGATACTGAAGTAGATTTGGAGATGCGAGGTATTTTGGTGCCACCAAAATATGTCTAAGTTAAGAGAGAGCTTTTGGTACCCATTAGATCCTAAAAAAATTCTGGCTAGTGGCTTATTAGCCAGGTCTCTTCAGATGCGAAAGCTTTGAATACAGGAGGCCCTTAGTGTTTATTTGCTTTTGTCCACACTACACAGGAGATGACACTGACAGATGAAAATTAGTGCTAACTGTAGAAATAATATGCAATAGTAGACAGTAATAATCTAACAGTGGATTATTAAGTATTCTCTAACAGCCTGAGATGTTCTTGCAGGATTAAGGTAAGACTGAGCCCCGCAGCATGTACCTGTATTCACAGAATACTGCTGGTAAAGTCACGCCTGTTGTTCTGATGTGAGAAGAAATACTGAAAAGGGAAATAAAAAGTATTCCTGTGTGATGTGGAGTAGTTTTTGCTCTGAATAAAATACCTGGTCTATCATGTTCCTCAAGGTGTGTCATTAAGTAGTAAGGAGTGATATCCATCCGCTTTGTTTGAGCCATCTTTTCTCTAACTTTGTTTAACTCACTTTATTAACTAACCTTGGCAGGTAGTTCATGTGTATGGGCTAACCGACCCTTTCGTGGCCAGTCTGCAGCTGTGGAAATGCAACAAAGTGATAGACGCCCTTTCCTCTGCTACCCAGATTGGGTGAGGCCTTTTACTGTGCCCTGTCACCCTCTGTAATGACATTGCTGCAGCTCTAGGGCTTTCCTCCTCCAGGGCGCTGCGCTGTGAGCGAGGCCTCGCTTGCTTTTGTGCAACACTCCCTGATGTACATCCACCTGCAGCCTTTCTTCCTGCCCTTTTGCTTTGGCATTTGAAGTGCCTAAAGAATCATGGCATGTGATTCATGCTTGAATATAACTTTGAAATAACGAGATATTTCTGACCTACTCAATGATTGTGAAGCAAAGGTAGGGACTGTCAGAAAAAACATCTGAAACAGCACCCAATTTACCTTCATTTCCTCCCTTCCTCCTCTTTACCCATTCAGTGCAGGCAAAGCAGCCTTTCATACAGGTTTGTCAGATATGCCAGATGCCATCCTCATCTTGAACATATTCCTGCTCTCACCTTTGTCCGTGAGTCTAATGTGGATTTAGCAGTTATGCCCTGTACCCTAGAAGAAAGCTGACTCCTTTCCTGACTGCCCAGTTTTTAGTTTGTGGCAGTTTTTAGTTCGTGGCCTGGAAAATGAACCAGGTTTGCTTTCTTATTGTTTTGCATTCCTTTCATCCCATGGGAGAATCATCCGCTTTTATGCTGGTTTAAATAATGTGTCCCCCCCAGCTTCCACATAATTAATAAATTAAACTCTAGAAATGGAGCTTTGCCCTCGGAACAGAGAACTGAGGGGAGATGCAGACACAGTGTGTTGTTATTCACAGACCTGATGGTTAACAACTGCACATGCTGAACATGCTAATGCTGTGCATGTAGCCAGAGCAGGCCAACATCTCTATTTGCAAGTAGCACAACAGAGCTTCCATCCACTGAGATAAGAACCATTTCTCATCACATACTATTTTTACCAGCCCTTGACTGTAGGCAAATTTCCAAGAGGCACATTGCAGGTATGTTGCTCACACATTGTAGCGTTTGCCTGTTATTGATTGATGATATCTGTTTGCTCTTTTGGAAAGTTTATCTAAAACAGAACTTTAATAAAATGATTATTCTAAATATGCTGATATCATTTTTCACTTGAAGAAAAGACACTAAGGTTTTTAACAATAACTATATAAATGCTTATCAGTGAAAGAATATTTTTTTCTTTCACTGAATCTGCCACCAAGGCACGATTGTTAAGTTATGGCCAAGTAGCAGCAATAATAAAAAAATAGAAAAGTTTTGTACTTGAGCATGTTTAATATTTCAAAACTTTTAGAAACACAGTCATTCATTTTTTCAGGGCATTCCACGTAGCACAAATTGGACACCCAGGTGATGCTCTGTCTCTGACTAGTTTGAGCCCAGGTACCCTCTGTCTCCTCCCTGGAAATACACAGGGTAGTAACAGCAGTTTTCCACTGCCAGCCACTTTGGACTGTTTTGTTAGGCTTTTATGGGAAGATCAATGAAAAGACGTTGCTTTAACCACTAAATACGTGTGTTCTTTTTCTCCTAGGTGAGCTGGAAGGCAGGACCCATTTGGAGAATATCGAGGTGCATGAAAAGGAACTGGGAGGATTGCACTGAGGTAAGTAGCAGTTGGTGCCAGCCTTAGCTGCAGCCTGTAGTTAGAGCCTTCTCTGTCCCATCGAGCCACCTCTGAGCTGCTGGCTGGGGCTAATGTACTTCGTGTTCCATATTTCAATTCATGCAGCAAAATGAGTGCACCAAAATAAATCAGAATTAAGCCTGCTAGATACATCAAGTCCTGTAAAAAGCCACAGCTAAGGGAAAAGGCCCTAGGAATTCCCTTTTCAATAATTTTTTCTTTAGCAAAGACTGTCTGGAAGTGTTTTGGGAAAACTCTTCTGGAAATGTGTTGTCTAGACAGATGCACATGTAGCCACCCTAAGTAATGGATTTAGGAGGTGATCCATGAAATTGGCCGGGAAACCTTTACGGCAGGATAAATGCTGGATTTGATTAAATAAAATTAAGAAAATGAATTTTAAACAAGGGAGGTATGGTGCTGGCCAGCTGAGCCCAAACATTTCTCAGCACTTAAATTAATGATGAGTTTGTGCTTTCAGGGTGAATGCAGATGGCTCTACTTCATCTTCCTTTCAGTGTTTGTTTTATTTATCACTGTTGGATTATTGATTTTACTTACTCTTATACTTGCATTTTTGGTTGCAAGAATATCAGGCTGCTGTGCTCAGCCCAAATTACAACTAGCAGGGGGTAATTACAGCCCAGGCAACTGCAGTTTTCATCGGGTATCAAAAAAGCAGGAAGACGCTGTGCTCTTCTGCCTGGAGCTGCTGAGCTGTGTCTGGTGTTTATTGGCTGCTCTGGGAAGTTACACACCTGCTCTTACGGGAAATGGTAATTCCACATTTACATTAGCATGTAACGTAATGGAAACCTCTCTCTGTCACATATGAAGAGCTTCACCAAGCAGGGAAAAGGATTTTCAGAATCACAGGTCCTTAAGCTGTAGTAACATGTCAACCTGTTGAAAATGATGGGTTTTAGGTGGGCAAGAAACAATTTTGTTTACTGCTCTATTCAAAAAACAAAACAAAACAAAAAACCTGTGGAAATCTCCTGGTGGAACCCATTAATTTGAAATATTAAATAAGTAGAGATATTTCAGCTTTGACAGTGGAAAGCAAGGAGGGAAGAGAGTTGGAAAAAGAAATCTCAAAGGGTTATTTAGCAGAGAGATCATTCTCAGCTATCTCTTTCCATCCTTTCTCCCTTAATCAAAAACTCCTTCAAAATTTAGCAAAAATGCCGAAGACACCCCTTTCCCCTCAGTGTTTTCTGTTCACAAGTGCTGTAGGGTGCAGTTAGAGATGACTCTCCCCAGAGAAAGTGCTGCTGCTTTTCTCTATCTTCCCAGTGCCTTCTGCAAACTGTAAAAAGTCTAAGGGAGGAACAAGGAAGAGAAGTGTCAGTGGAAATTCCCTCTTCTGAGCAAGATCTGTGTTTGTAGATGATTGTTTTGTTTGCTTTAAGTTAAACATTTAAATTGCAACATCCCAGCAGGGTGTGTGTCCGTTAAGATATAAGACCCAGACCTCCTCCTAATGACTTTTCCCTGTGGTACCAGAAGCAGGTCAGTTCTGGTTGATGCTTTTGGGGACAAAAACCCCATCAGATGTTTACACGGATATGTTTGGCTCAAGGTGTTGTGTTTTTTGATGACTGGGAGCTATAATTAGGCCACCTCACAGCAGTGCCTTAGAGAGAGCATTTAGTAGGCAAAACAGGCTCAGGCTGGGAGGGCGCATGTTAAAAGGCAAGACAGTAATCACCATAGTTAAGTGTAGACAACTCTTGGATGAATATATGTGTGGGGAGAGACAACAAGCCACCTTTTTAAAGCATTGTTTCAAACACTGAAACAGAAATCTTATGTCACACCTTTTTTGTGGTTAAATTTTGAGACCATCTGCTTGTGTGGCAGTGGGATATCTTATTCTGCATCGGTACTAGTCCTACAATGTCCAACTACCAGTGTATATACATAAGGAGAGGTCGCAGATCCTACCTGAAGGATGTGATAGTCCTGCTATTGCCCCCTCTCCCCTCCACAAAAAGAGGAGGGATCTCAGGCAGGAACATGAGTCCCAAGCGAGGATGAATAGTCCAGACATGGACCTACTCGAGCAGTTGTGGAACCTTTCCCCAGAATATTAGCAAAAATAAACTGTTTCCATGCTAGTGACCACAAACATATGGAGTATTTGCAAAGACAAGAAGCCAAGTCATGCACTAAAGTATTGTTTCCTGAAGAAACAATTTTTATTTTGTTTCTGAAAAACTGCATACACATGTTCAGATCTGTTCAGCCTTCAATACATGTCTTAGTTTCTGCCAAAGTTCAGAACATTTCTTTAAGCATGCAGGACCACACTGCAGCTCAATAAAGAAGTAAAGCTTTTTTTAAAAAAAATCCTTTATCTGTGCAAACATTATTTGAAAGCTATTTACATTTTATACCTCTCACTTGTAATAACATTAACATCTGCTGTTAGGTACATGCACTGCATAGCTATAGCTTGCAATTTGGCATTGACATTTGATTTGGATGCAAAGTGAAAAACAAAGAAACAAACCTTACATTGTTGAAGAAACTCTCCTCAGGCAATTACAATAAATCTCATTTCTTCTTTGTAAAGCAGATCTTTATATCAAAGTTTCATTAAAATGCTTCAGTTATTATCCCTGCAGTTATTAAAATATTACTTCCACTCTATATACTGGATCATCTTCCTCTGGAGCAACATGCATTTCGCTCATCTCAGTGCATGGGAGCTAAAAGAAAAAATTTCTCAGTTGTATCCAGGAAGGCATGAGTGCACCGAAACCCTTGCTTCTCTTTGTCCCTTCTTTTCAGTAAAATTTTACTATTGCAATTAGGACATTTGAACTTAGTAGTAGACATTTGAACTGAGATGCTAAAAATTAGTTACAGGTTCATACCTCTTATTACTTTCTCCTCTAATTTCTTCCATCCGTCAAAAACAAGTCAGTTACTAGACAGACATCAGTACTCAGTCATGCTGTGTTTCTTTCATGCTCCTTACATTCTCTGTCAAAAAAGCATATTTTGCCATTGCAGTGGTGGCAGTTGTGCATAATAAGCAAAATATCCCTACTCACAATCATCATTAACAGTCTTTGCTGCTTTATATATGCCAGTATTAGAGTGAAGAAAATGTGCAAAACTACACTTAAAAACACCCATGCAATTCTAGACTACCTGCCTTCCATTCTAATTAAAATTAAATTTCAGCTGTGGCAGAGCAGACATCCCTGCATTCAAGAGATTCACCATACATGAATATTTTTCTTACAGTGAACCAGCTGAATATTAGGTAAGTGTTTCCTTCTGGATGCCGTGTTCCATTATCACTCAGCAAAAGCTGCCTTGTGCTTTATTTAACTGGCTCTGTGTCACCAGTAGTCAGCATTACTCTGCTTTTCAGCTATGGTAATTAAGCAAGCCATGTTTCCTCAGAGAAAACAGTATTTTCATAACCGCAAAACTGCTTCACAACTCAAATAAATACACAGAGCTGAAGAAGCCTTTTCACTTCACAAGCTGCAAGCGCCGCTCGCTATGGCGGAGGCCAGTTCAGTTCAGGATGGGAATGGTACTTTCGGGCTGACTTCCAAACATCTGGGAGAAGAACTCGAAAGCCAAGCGGACGTGGATGGGGACGAAGACATAGGCAGTGTACAGCACCATAGCAAGGACAGTCACGAGGATGGTGTCGAACATGGACCGCTCCCAGGGCTCCAGCACGTAGCTGCACGTGATGAGCAGGTACTGGAAGTAGAGCCAGTAGAAATAGTCCTTCACACGCTTAATATCCATCTTCAGGCTCATTGGTTTCGAGGAGGTAAACTGCAACAAGAAGCCAGGATTGCTGCTGCAGGGAAAAGACAAACCCAGAACTAAGAACGGCTATGGTGGATATTGCATCCAGTTCAATAGTACATGGTAAATAAAATAAACTTTGGTTAGAAATAAACAAGAAGCCAGGATTGCTGCTGCAGGAAAAAGACAAACCCAGAACTAAGAATGGCTATGGCGGATATTGTATCCAGTTCATGGTAAATAAAATAAAGTTTGGTTAGAAATAAAGACCCTTCGCCAGCCTCTGCCCTCCTGGAGCAAACAGCCCCTGGCTTTGGGAATTGCTACCTGAAGTCCTTAAAGTTGTATCAGCTGGGTGCTCTGCATTCCTATGTTCTGGTCATGAATACATTGTGTTACTCATCCAGCAGTAGCTCATTAGCTTGAAAGAATTTCTTCTCCGTTAGTACCTCTCTGCACAGAGTGAAGCAGCTGAGCGACTATTAACTAGGAAATCGGTTTGACCTCCTACTATTTCCTGTTAAAGCTGCCTTCCAATATTTCAGTCTTTTAAATTCAAGTTAGAAACACCGACTTGCAGAAAAGAGATGAAATTATAAACAATAAGGCTTTAGATTTCAAGTCAAACCATGCTGGCCACATCAGCTCATAAGAGGGAGTGCAGAAGACTTGAATCCTGCTGGAAGCCCCTCCGGTGCAGCATTTTGCTCTCTGATCTGTTGCCCAAGCTGCAAAATCCCTCCAGTCTAATGCTCCTCAGTGAAGTTTGAGCAACCAAAACTTCCTGTCTCTTAATCCTACATACACAAATACTAAGATAACGCTAGAAGAATTCTTACCTTTGAGTAAGGTAGCAATGACCACTGGTATAGCCTCAATGTACAGTACTTGGCGCTCTACTACCCCAGGGAGGTTGTACAGCTTATTTGTTGTATCGTCTACATTAAGGTAACATAGAAGGCAAAACAAATTACTGGTGGGGGAACTTGGCTCCCCTTCCTTCACCCGTGCTGGCTCCTTTCCCAGCAGTTTTCCTTCCTCCCTCACATTTCCTATGCAGATCTCCTCGCATCTGTTCTCCGGGTGCTCCCCAACTTTCAGCACCCCCGTAAAAACAACCTCTTTGGCTAGCAAGAAGCACAGTGAAGCTGTAAACACGGCTTCAAAAAAGACAGGAGGAGGTTTCATATTAGGAGATTTTTGGGCAGAAAATTTTTACTGACATCTCTCACCCGTCCAGTACTTTCCACCAGCCTCTCAACCTCAGTCCCTTCTCCACTATATCTTTTTCCCCTCTTTTCCCACTATGTTGTGTTTCCATCATTTCCCTATCATTTCCCTCTTCCCCTTTTGTCTCCTAGGCTATCTCTAGCCAAGGGACTGTCTACAGGTTTTTTTAGAGAGCAGCTCACGTCAGTTTTAAACCAAGCAATAGGAGCCAAAGTATCTCTTATAACTTCTGCAAAAAGAGCAGCGTTTCTCAACGAACAGGTTAAGCCCTTTGCTATTCAAACTGCCACCGAGCATAGGGGTTCCTCCTATGCCAAGGGGGATTACAGCAATTACTCTGGGGTTTTACCTGGGCTAGATGAGCACTTTTCTTGTGTAAGTGACTTGAGCCTGATTGCTGTGCTGAAAAACTGCAAGGTTTGTGGCTTGCATGCCAAGTGGGAGTACAGTGTTTACTCTGAGGCTTTACCTGGGCTAGATGAGCACTTTTCTTGTGTAAGTGACTTGAGCCTGATTGCTTTGCTGAAAAACTGCAAGGTTTGGTGCTTGCTGGCTGTGTGATGGCACGAGCTTGTCAGACTGCAGGAAGGAGGGCTCCGCTTAGCAGATCCTTCTGCCCACAGCAGCACAGACACTTTTAGGTGTAAACGCAGAGCTGGTGTACGAAACAGCCACGGATTTCCCCAAGCTGAGGCCAGTCCGCCCGCCCGGCCGCTCACTCACTGCTATCATTTGCTAGATATCCTTATTTCAGAGACATATAGATGAAGTATGAAACAAAATCATGAACAGACCTTTCAGTTCATACTCCTTGGTATTTTCCCAAGACACCATTGCTTTTTCTATAGTGCAGGGACTGCATTTCCATCCAGCTCAGCCCGAGCGTTCCTAGCAATGCTGCCCGAGTCCATAGCTGACAAGTGCTTCCCTTCTTCCTATATTTACCAGCAAGCGGATACGCTGATCCTCAGGCACTTGGGTACAGGTGTAACGAGAGAAACCCTCAGAGTGGTGGCTAAATGCAACCTGCCTTAGTCTGTATGGTCTCCAAAGGGGCCATAAAGGTTGAGGTAAGTAAGAGATAAACAGGTGGATTACAGTCTCCATCCTCCATTTAATCCACTCCAATTCACTCCACTTAGTCTACCAAGAGATTTAGTTTTCTATCGAGACCATCTTTGAAACAACAAACCCAATGGGCACCTCAGGACAGTGCAATTCTAGATATATAATTAAAGGACAATGTAGAGGGTAAGGAAAAAGAGTCATCTTAAACTGACCCATCAGCCAGTGAGATGAGGATCCCCTGTGCTGCTATGTTGCAGGTGTCTCTTTTTAAGCTATTCAATCTGCATTAATTGCAAATTTAAGCATAGGCAAGATGTATGTCCAGAGGCTTCAGAAAAAGTTACCACCTAGTCCAGTTACAGTGCATTAAAAGGACAGGCAGATTACTTTTCAGGACAGAAAATCTGTATATTAAACAGGATTTGTCCTAGAGGCTTCCATTTTCGTTCAAGTGTTGCTGATATTTACTGCATTTTGCTGCATTAATGCTGCAATTAGCTGGATCTCTGAATTGAAAGGATTCTGCGTAATTAGCTCAGTTTCCAATATTCAGAACAGGAGGAGATAAATTGTTGATGCACAATCTTGGCTTATTCTTTGTCTACAAATTTGAATTTAAGTATTCAGCTGCATTATGGAAATGCCTTCCTGTGCAGAGGCCATGGAACGGTGTCAGCCAGCTGTGAATGTAGTGAATAGAAATCAGCTAATGAAGCTATTAGGCAATACTCTAATTATTTTCAGCAATTTCACCTCCAAGAGAAAAGGCAAGAAGAGCAACTTGTAAAGCAGCTTCTATTGTTTTAAGTGGCAACCTGCTTTTCCTGACTGTTGGCACATCTCCGATTACAGCAGTTGGAGAGATAAATCATCAGCCATCCCCTCCTCCAAGAAAACTCCCCCCGCCTAAGAAGCAAAAATCCCAAGAGTTTTCATTTAAGAGCATGCTTAATCTCAGGAAAAACAAAACAAAAGGCTTTGAATAGCCTTAGTTCAGTGTGAAAAGTAGTGTTTGGAATCGTAATGCCTAGAAGATGCCAATGTTAGGTCCTTTACGATATGTTTCCACTTTGAGTGACACCGTTTTGGGGACATGGCTTGTTGGCACTGGCTGCAGGTAGCTCTGGTGGCTGAACCCCAGGTGCACATAGTGGGAAATTCCTGTGCAGAAAAACATCCCTGCAATGTAACTGGCAGAGACTAGTTCCCAAAGAATGCTTGAGAAACACCTTGCGCTCTGCCCAAGAGAGTCTGACTACCCATACCAAGAAAAACAGGCTTCCAAAATACACTCAGATCTACAAAACTGTATCTGTACTGGGCAAAAGCAAAGCCTGGAACTGTAGGTAGCACTGGAATCATAAAACAGATGGTCCGTGATGCCTTTATAGATAGAATACAAGCAAATGAGAATAGTGGTATCTTCGTATACGTTTTGCAGTGCTATCAGCAAGGCAAGGAGGAAAAAGCAGCCCCCAAGCTCAGTCCCAAGTGTAATCGAGTAGCTTGGCCATTGCTAGGTAGCCCCTAGAACACAGGTAGGTGCAAGCCTTGGTCAGGTTTGCACAGTCCTAGTGGGCTGGAGTCATTGTGAAGCTCAAATAAAATCCTGGGATCTTAAAAAACCACCACCAACAAACAAACAAAACCTGTGAGCCTGAGTCTTATATTTGGTCTCTCCCTTGTGTGCAGGCTCCAAACGGCAGATAAAATAAGGCAAAGTGCAGAATCTACTTTAAAATGATACCTAATATGTTATGTAAACAATGTTAACTACCAGCAAAGGCTAGAGCTGTGCTTCTCAGATGCTGAAGTGCATGTCCTCCTTGCAAATCATTTATCTAACACTTATTAAACTTTTCCCTAATTTTATTATTGCAGACAGCTTGGCTCTGCTGTTATTTAGGCACTCTGTCCTGAGTCCTCTGAAGACTTATCTTGTCCCTGATAATGCTAACATAACTCTGGAATGAGCCCATTGATCTAAACAGACCAACTTCTGAAAATGCAAATAATATACCAAGAGGATTCACGTTCCCTGTCCATTGTGCCCTTGGTTTATTATGTTTTATTCATTATAAAACATAGAGCATATAATGAATGAAGGGTCCCATGCAGCAGGCATGCTTGGCCAGGAAGGGGCAGCAGCTGGCTCTGTGCTGGGTGCCCCTGCCAGCCGTCCCTGGGGACAGTGACGCCACCTGCTTTGGTGTCTGCAGCCTGGGTGCCCCTTGGCCACAGCAGCAGTTCAGCCTCCAGAGCTGCCCGTTACCCTGCTGACACGCGGGGCCCTCTGGTTACTGCAGTTCGTGGCACTGCAGCGTGTAAAACCTTGTTTTCACAGGGAGGCAACATCAAACAAAGAAGGTGCCCGCAGAGAACAGCCCCAATCCTGCACGGCGCCACTATGAGCATTTAGGCACAAGTGAAAATGGCTTTGCATGTGGATTAAAATAAACAGAACCTCTCCTCTGCCTTTGGAGCAAAATCGTGCCGCAGACACAAGGCCTTTCCTGCTTTTGGCCCCAGCATCGTCTTCCTGCCCCAGCACCTCAGAGCAGCGCCTGACATCGCTGCAGCTGCTGCCTGCAGAAGCTCTCCTGGTGAGCTCGTAGAGTAGAATGGAGAAATTATTACTGTGCATGACTCAGGCATTTGGCGTGCAGGTGAACATGCCTTGACTGTGAGTTTTCTCAAAA